ACGACCGTGTGGTATGATGTCATACCACACTTTCACATGGAGCAGACTAGTTTTCCTTAATTTATTTGGCGTTTTTCCTGTTCCACAACGGTCCATGTACATTATTGGATCCGAAAAACAATTTCTTCATTACTGATAATGAAAACGCTGAAGGATTAATGCCTATTGATGAGAGAATACGAAAAATGTTGAAGCAGTACGCGCACAACGGCGGTCTTCAACGTGTTAAAGAAGGACGGAAATAGCAGGGATGGCCAGATCTTGTGGAATTAACGAACGCTCGTATGTTCCCGATGACCGGCCGGTCAATTTGACAAAGGGCCAAACCAAAAAAATGGTGGAAATTTGCAAAAGAGCCTATGAAAGGTAGGAAAAATTGCTGCACCGCTTACCAGGCACTTGCGTTTCGCTTTTAGCGAATATCTGGAATGGTCCTTGTCGCGTCAGAATTTCGTGCAGAATGATTCCAAACGCGTAGACATCACCTTTTTGCGTTCCTAAAAATGTTCATTGTTTTACTCAATAATGAAAGGATATTAGCTGTAAATAAAGGAAGGATAGGATACTGTAAATAAAGAAGACAGGATAAAATCCCGCATAGTTTCTCGCTTACCTTTAACGGAGTGCTTCAACTCGCTCTCTCGCAGCAATTCTGGTGCACACCAAAGGTAACTCATCCACTAAACAACTAACAATGAATGGTAAGGTCGAAAATACGATTAAAAGAGAGTTCAAATCAGACTTACCCGACTCTCTTCGCTTTCCCACTGTCGCCCTTCACGTATTTCATGATGACCAAAGTCGGCTACTTGCAGCGCCCACCTCGATGTAATCAAACAATTGGTGGACTTCAGATTACCATGAACTTTCAATTCAGAGTCATGTAAATAAACCATGCCCTAAATTTCATGCTACGTTTGTCTACAAACTATTTCAATATTAAAAAATCCTGGAATAACAGGTATCGGAAAACTCACATTAATGAGATCTTCAACGAAAGACGCTATATACAAGTGATCGAGTTTGAACTCTCGATTTTGCAATATATCCATCAATGAGCCTTTGGCGCAAAACTCACGGACTATGCAAATCGAATATGGGCACATAATAATCCCTGAAAACCTTTTGCTTGAAAAACCGGCGGGTGATTCTTTAAATAACTTTCAAAGTTAGGAAAATATTGTAAAACGGACGTGTACTAAAAAACCATTGGGGAAAAACCGCAAGTTCCTATTCGGGGACCCCTTATCAGTGTTCAGGATTTCGCGTGATAGCTCAAACAAAGAGCGATCAGAAAATGAAATTTGCAAAATATGCAAATTAAGTGACAACTGCGCTGTTCTACAATGTCTCGCAAGAAGGGACTTTTCACTTCCATTGTTATTACAGACTAAAGATACACGAAAGAACCAGTTGTTAACAATTTATGAAGTAACAAAAGACCACATCAAGTGATAGAGCGGGCTAACTAGTTCAGGAAAAATCGACCAACGACAAAATAAAAACCCATGAAGAGTCAAGCGACGCAACTGGCTTTCCCTAACAGAATTTCCAATGTGCCACAACTTCCCCAGTGTTGGAAGGTGCTTCTCTCACCAACTCTTTCGACTTTTGCGAAATCTGCGAGCTTAAAATTCGCCCTTTCCTCATTTGGGTGATGGCAAGAGACAACATGTTTGGGGCAAGAGGTAGACTCCGACAAATCATCATTCCTTATTGGGAATTCTTTTATCAACATTATTCGTTTAGAACGTTGCTTAAGCAAACGTAAGATATAATACACGAGCAGTAAGTATAATACAATAATAGATACTGGTCGGAAGTTGCTGACATGGGATTTTTTCTGACCTCACCATAAAGCTTTTATATGTTGGATGAGTGACGTGGGCGCCATAACTTGATCTGCAATCTTCGATTGCTGTTGTTAATTCGCGTAGGGGGTTGCGTGAAAAGTGTCAGCCTCTGAAGAGTAGAATGGTTCAGGGCAAAAGACACGATAGCACATGAGTCACACGAAATTCAGTACCTTCAACCGCAAACAAGAGTCCCTTTGTAGTATGCGACACCTCGGAGACCTGAGCCTTTTTTCTCGGCGTCTTGACCAGTATACCACGCATGGTCACCCATCTGAAGAGAGGAAAACTTTACAAATCTATCAGGAAACTATTACCACAAGGCGACAGCGCATAGATTTTGCTCTTTTGGCCGTTAGACGATGGGTCCTGACCCAGAAACTGAATCAATGTAACAGCTCGAAGATCATTGTGGGAAATTTATAATAAACTGTGTACATCAGGAAGGATTTACACGAAATGTTGTGAGTACCACAGGGTGTCACGCCGTTCCACGCATGCCCAAAGCTGGAACGGCGTGACACCCTGTCGTACACCAAAGCGTGGTATTTCAAGCAAACACGCTATTCCTCAGGATATTAACCTTACATTACCAGTAAGAGTATAATGGAAGCAGTGATTGTTCATGTGCTGGTAAAGCTTTGGGATTTCAGTCTTCAAACGAATAATCAGTTGACTTCCCATTATTGTTGCAAGTAAATAAGTAATTGCTACCACTAAAAGAAAACATACATCATTTCCATCCGGGAAAAGCGACGTTGTTGATGCGTTGCCTTGCATAAGTCGTTGCACTTCACGCACTTCGATCTTCCATATCATCGCTAATTCCTTCTCGAATTTACGACTTCTGCAACAGAAAGTTTCATCATTTTCAGTTGAACAACGTCGAAGTCACAGCTACGTGGAGAACAGGAAGTGAGGAATTAAGTTCGCGAATGATTACGGTTAGAATGAATTTCACTGCATTTCTTCCGTTATTTTTTTACTACTTTCTTCAATTTAGCAACAGCAACATTTTCTACCGTATCATCATTAAAACCCCAACACTCTACTCCTATGCACTAACTTCGCCGCGCTAACGATTTGCAGGGCACATAAAACCTTACAGAGGCGAGTTCGACTTCGGAATTGTCACTAGGTAGCACTGTCACTTGCCACTGCCCCATATTCGCTATCTGTATAGATATGCACTAACTATACTGATCAAACTCCTATCGTCCATGCCCAATAACCAAATACCACTAAGCGGGAAATCTTCTTTCAACAAACCTGTATACAAATCCTGCCGATATCGCTCCACCAATCAATACGATGAAAAAGAGTATGAATGAAATGAATGATATGTAGCCTGAAAAAGGATACATTGAAAGAAAAACTCAGGCAGTAGCTGTCAATGATAGCTGCCTAGTTTCCTGACAAACGCAATTTTTCGAGGAGGAACTCTACAAATTGCTCAGATTTCTCCGTATGTCACCATAAAACCAACCGCCATAATCTCTGCAAAGCTCTCCGTGAAAGCCGCAATCTGGCTGATCACGTGTTGGTCCATCTATCCACATGATTGGCTTGTGGAATCTAAACATGAAATCATCAGAAAGGGATAAATTTATTCCCTATGAAAACAACTTTTTCATAGTTTAGAAGAGAGCTAGAAACACAGCAAAAGACGGAGAATTTCCATAACCCTCTCGTTTCTTTGCTGGAACCAGTCCAAGACACAGAAAAAAATATTGAGAAGTTGAAAATTCTACAATAGAGAAGAAAAACTTGAAATTTCCGATCGAGGTTAAAACTTACACTAGCTTTGGCATGTTATTATGCCCTTCTCCTCCATCAACGAACATGGCAGTGATGTCAAGAGCGTGGTCGAGCGGGTAGTAATTACCATCGCCTTTCGTTCGAACTGGCTCCACCTGAGGGAAACAACAGAATTAAGCGGCGTACGCACAGATGTGCTTTGTTAGTCGTAATCAGCAATGAATTAGCAAGTTACAATAGGTATACGCCCTCAAAAAACTTCCAATGTAACACCAAACAAAAACTGAACATTTTTTCGTGCACTTACTGCTTGCCACGACAACAGCGTGTAATTTCCTTTGGCGTCTCCGTGTTCATTGATTCGCATGTCAAAGCCTTGCATACCTGAACGAGAGCTTAACTTTATCATGACAACATTCACATAGAAATATTAGGCGAATCACTCAATTCGGCAATATTTCATGCTCAAAAAAGCTTAGTGATCAAGTGATAAAAGGTGTTCAAAAATGTTTCCCACCAGTGCTCCTCATCAACCCTTTCGTTGCGATCCGATCCCATGGTGATACGGTTTCAATTGCAAAAAGATCACGACTACCGAATTATTTTATACTCATCGACCAGTTTGAAATCCCTGCGCAAGCTTGTAAGTGCTGCATTAATTCTGTCAGAGCGTAAGTGTACCGCTGTATGTTCTGGTAAAGAACATTTTTTTCTAATCCACCGCAAAATTTTTCCTAGAAAGTTATTTCATCTCTGCCACCACGCACTAATCCAACCGAGAGGATAGCCGCATGCAAGTGGCAAGCCATTATCTCCCGCTTTGAGCCCCTTCCCAAAGCATGTAAATGTTTAAAAACAGCTACTTCAGTAAGTTTTTATTCACCTGTAAGCTCTACAATTGCTATAAAGTTGTAGGTAAATAACATAGAACCTCTTTAGTGGCCGCGATGCCAGTGACATTGAAATCACCATTTATAAAATACGAAGCCCCGGAGCACCTAACTGCAAGCGTTTTCATTTTATTGGAATCTACTTAAAGGTCTAGATCACCATCGATGGTAGGGAAACCGTTTTGTTGTGGAGCTATGTTGAAACTATAATACCACAATTTCAGCGAAACTTCTGCACACTAATTTGCACTTATCACCACTGAATGCCGCTGATCAGAATTATGTTAAGCACTCAATACCGGTTAAATTGAGACCTCAATATCATCCGTCATTCACGCATTCCAATTCGAGCAGACCCTCTTATATTGTAAGCAAAAAAAAGGCAAATCTGATTTTAGGAAAAAGGGGTACGGAATGAACTGACCAAAGTGTCGAGAAGGCAAGCAAAAAGCTGACGGCTTCCCGTGAGAGGGCGGAAATATAAAAGTTGTTCCGAGATTACGCCAGTAGCCTTTATAATCTATTTAGAGCTCATTGAAGTTGATCTAAATGCTTGCAGGAACCCCACGCCATTACAACACAGTCTTATCCATAGCCCCGAAAAGATGCTGGCCACATAACTATTTGTATTTATGCCCCTGCGGGATGTGAGATTTTGTCGTCCTCGATGCATGATGGCTAATTTGTCCATAAACTACATGTACGGTAGTGGCGCCGCCTGCCACTAACCCAGTTTTCCATGTGACATGAACTACTGTCTGTCTCCTTCTTCAACAAAAGCCAGATTTTGCGACAGACTTATGGTCCGCTCTGTTGCCGCTCGCGCCATAGGCGAGCCAATCAATAGCTGGCACGACCGGCATACGTGCATTGCGCGTGAATTATACCGACCGTCGTACCACCGTCTGCCGCAAAGTCTGACAGCCATCCAGGGAAGGCACGCTCTATTTTTTCACACGAAAATACATATTGGAAATACAGAGATTTGAAAGGTATCCAAATTTGTTTCGGAATATTTTCGTGATGAACTGCCAGTGAACTTTTTTAACGCTTATAATGAATCCTTAATTTCCCGTCCTTTTTCGGTTCCAGTTGAGTCGAATCTCGAGATCAACTTACTCGAATATTTCCGATTCAACACTTTCTTGATGATCGCTGCTCCATCTCTCGTCGGATCATAGCCATGTGCTTGCCTTTCTGTTGTCTCCTCGATCAATTCGTGCAGCGCACGTGCGTAGAGGTACACCGCATCGTACAGATAGCACGCAAAACGATTCACCTTAAGCATACAGAAATATTATACAATTTCCAACCACATGTTGCTGACCTAAGAGGTAACATAAGATGAAACTAGCTCCCAGCCACGCCCATTTTCTATTTTCATTCATTATGTTTTTTTCATTTTTTCTGGCTTCTCATATGGCCATGCGATGTAGCAAGTGTCCAAATAGGTTCCCAATTACTTTCACACCAGTGCTAGTTTGGTTGTAAAACTTAGATTGTCGGAAAAATCTTACTTCATTTTTCTATTTCACACTTACGTGACATATTATTGAAATAAAAAAACTATATGTACTGCCATGTTAATTTCCTCCACGAGGTTCAACTAATTCGAGAGTTTCCAAACATAACAGAAATTCAGGACTCAAGACCTATTTGCTTGTTTCTGTTCATGTGGCTCTGCATAAACAGCCCTTTAGCCGAAGTAGATTTTGCGAATCGCCCCGATCGCTAGCGTCCGCGTCGCGTCGTCGCCCCCCACTTGAAGCACTCACGGCGAACCAGCAAGCGCGATCCGCGAACGCTAGCGAATCGCTAGTAGCGAATCGCGCGATTCGCAAAGTCTGACATCGGCCTTACTCTTTATTGGTACAACGCCGCTTGAAGCGATTCTCGAAGCCGCGTGGGATCGCGTCCTCTTCTATCGCGAAAATACTCCCTAAGCCTGGAGACTGACTACACTCAAAACCTTAATGGGCCAAAACTGAAAGGAAAACTGCAGAAAACTCGCCTCCCTCAAGCGTTGGTTGAAGGCTTTCTAATCAACCAGGCTAATCTGCTTGTTTGGCTCGGGAAGAATTTGAAAACGAGCAAGGCAAACATCATTAATTTTCCGAGCTTTTTGTATAGAAAAACAAAAAGTTTTATCTGAGGAGAGCATTTTCAAGCATCGCTTAGGTAAAACACCCACTGTGATAGATTGGTACAGAGCAACACCAACAAATACCACACCCTTTCGAGCTGAAATTTTCAGTGAGAAAGAACTGCTTTTGCACTCTTTTTTCCCCACGAATAAAATGGCTGGCTGTATAATACGCAAAATTCGCAAGGAAAAGTTATACGAGAAAGCGCTATGCATTCTTGTTGATATCTTTTTGAAGCTCCTCACGAGGTTGGCAAACAACTTTTATTTGGCTTACGTTTCGGCGAGGATCGCCTTCTTCAGAGCCTGAAGGGTCGAAACAACATTTTCAGCTCCCTCGGTGAGAGCTTGCACAAGAAAGATATCAACAAGTCTGCCAATATTCGAGGTCTCCAAGCCCTGAGTACGTGAGAAATTTCAGCGCAGTGCTCAGAAGATGTCCACGTTGTTTAGTGCAGACCTTGACTAAGGTGATATTTGTGGTGGCTGAGTGGCCAACCGCCACGCGGCTGACAGCGGCGGCCCGTGTTTAACACCCCGTCAAAGCATGCCAAAATCTCATACCGTGCGGCATCGTTTATTATCATCACCACCTCCGCCACACATACTCTGCCCAGCACTCGCTTCCCATCGCCATCCGGCCCGGCCCCATAACTATGCAGCGAAATGTGCTAACCAGTTGAACGTAGCTGACCCCGGGGGACAGGTAGGAGCTCTACTACTTCAACACTTTCGAACCTCTAACCTCAATGCCACTCATAGATGGCCAACTACCAACTATTAGCAAGACACTACCACACAAGAACAGATCAAGTAATCTGAAAAGCAAGAAATAAGAAAAATGACCAGATATTAAACAACGGGTTCCCCCGTTGCACTTTCTGCCCCATCCACTAACGAGCGAGAATTGTGTAGACGAAAACAGTGTTGTTTTGGGCCAGGCATCAATTCCTCTCATCTATATCGCTTTCATTAAGATGTTGAATATTCATCAAGAATTAGTCTCAGAAACGCTTTTCTCGGAACCACTTTCGACCTCAACAGAGAACGGGTAAGCAAAGCGAGAGTTACGGAAATGAAAAGAGCTGATACCATAACTGAATATAAAAAGCTCCATGGTCCACCCTGCAAAAGAAGGTCGACCTTACAGCGGTCGCAGATTTGCTGTCACGCGCGGTGGCGGCGAAAAAAACGAAAAGGTTTTTCAAACGTACTGCACGCACTACCACTCCCACACTCACGACTCTTCCACCAACCGCACACTGCGTGTGACCCTCCCCTCAGACCGCTAAGAATAAGTGGGGGAGTTGGTAAGTGACAAGTAGCGCCAACCCCGTATTCATGAGCATCTTAAGAAGTAAAAATATAGGCTGAAATTTCTGCACATCCCCTAGAGTCCATTCACTCGCTATTATAGCCGCGTCATCAGCGTTCAGCAGGTTACCATTTCCAGGAAATTCTTCTCTAAAACATGGAGGAGCTGGAAAAACTAGTCAGAACTAATCTCTGATGTCCCTAATGCCTAACGCATACATGAATTCCTTCAGAATACAGTACACCTTTGATCTTTCGTGCATGCCCCCCTCTAATGTGTTCAAAGTATTCTTGTCTGTCCCTTTTTCTCAGAAGGAGGCGGAGCTGCAGGTCGGCCGGTTGCGGTCATTTGCATAACTCATGAATATTACGCGACAAAGACCAACTCTCATCGATGTTCTTTTGCTCTTTTCAGCGCAGCAACAAAAATCTTCCAAAAGACCTGTTCCATTTGGGCGGGTAATCTATTCCAAAGTTCAGAAAAATGATCTTTTCTCTGCTCGGTATCATATTTTCGACGGTTCAAATGCACCATGAAGATACATAAAGAGAAGTGCTTTAAGGAATAATGCTATTCTCTCATTAATTAAATACACGGCAGCTTTCGAAAAAAAATGACAATATATTTAGATGAATTGTGAGCAACCTTTATGGACCACGTGTGCTCATGCTTTGTGATACCGAAATTCGCCAGATCTTTCACGGCTTGAGCCCAGAATTTTTTGAATCTAAATGAAAACCAATTACAAAGTACATATTATAAAGAAGTGGCTGAAAATTTGGCTGGCTTCCTTCTCACCTCTCTGAATTGAGTTCAACCGGAGTAGGAATGATGGCCAACGCAGCTCGTGAATAGCCAATAATTCGGTGATCCGACGAGTTGCTAACGTCCCATGACGACTGCAGGTCAATCATTGTATCTTAATTAAAAACGATCGCTTTAAATTTAAAAATTCGTGCCATTGGCACCCCATATGGCCTGCCGGCTATTGACTGCATTTGTTAATATTTTTGTTAATTTTAATATTTAAATTTTTGAATACTTCCATATGAAATTTTTAGAAAGTAATATATGTATAAAACTAAGCGACAGGGGCCACCGAATGGTCAAATATGCTTTAATTCAATAACGGTTTTCCGAGATGGTCTTAGATTTCAATTTAGTTATTCCCCTTTGTTTTTATTGCCATAAACATGTGATCGGATAGAATAGCGAAAGTAAATATGAACCTCTATAGATGGCAGGAGATGCTTTTCTACTAAAAAATTGAGGCAAAGATGCTTTTGATATCCACTGCACACAAGTTGGTAATTTTTGCATATTAAAGATCATTGAGCGTCTTTCTAAACGGAAGTCTACAATAATACAGATGGATCACTCCCCCGCGCTGACCATTGCTGGACTTACTTTGTGATATCCATGTTTTTGTT